TAAATATTATAAAGTGAATAGTAAAATCACGATTTTACTGTTTGAAATGGTAATTTTTAGCAGTTGATCATTACTTATTATAAATCGACTGTTATTTATTACAGTTTACTTTTTTTCGTGGATAAGCCAAAATTATATCACATTTTTCAACTTGTACCTGAAGTGTTATTATAAAACTCATCAAATTTACCTTGCTATGATCTGCTGGAAAAATTACAAGGTAAATTTGAGTAAATAAATCAGTTAATTTTGATTAATGTGTAACTTTAGTTACATATTAATTTATTAACTGGATTTATTTCCACAGTGCTTTTACCTTCTGTGAAAGTACTGTAGGCAACTCAAACCGTGTAAGCGGTTCAAAAATAATACTATACGCTCTTGGCCGGCTAAAATTTAGGATTCCTAGGGGACGACTAGTCACCAGAAAAGAGAGGTAATTAGCATTGTTTAAATTAGACCGCGTTTTTACTAATCAAATCTTCCTCAATATTACCGACAGATCGTATTACTCGATCGTATCACTCGAGTATTTTTATTACTTTTAACTTTATCAGTATTATTTAAATCTGTGTTACTGTTTCATTTTTACTTCATTATTTCATTAAATAAAACTTTATACAGACAAGGCAAATAAGTTGGTTTCATGATAAATAATAAATAATGAATTATTATTATTATTATGTTAAATAATGATTTTCGGATTAAAATTCGACTCTGAACATAGACGAGGTGATAAGCAGAGACGATACCCGGCACATTGATTATACTTACTCCAATAATGTGAACTTGGACAGATATTGCTTTTTTAACACCAGAAGGCACTAATATCTCCTGAGAACCAGTTGCATTTATTGTAGGGCAGAAAGCTGGACCACTTCGGTAACTTGGTCCTATTCTCTGTAATTAAAAAAAAAAATATTAGAGTTGATACACAGAAAAAAAAGAGAATAAATCTTGAATCAAGTAAAATTTAGTTTAGAAAAATTTATTAGATCAAGAATTTTTTTACTTAAAGCAAGACGATGAACTTTTTCAAAATAATTTCCTTAATTCAATAATTGTTTTTTTGAATCAAGTAAATTTTATTTATGTAATTAAAAATTTTGCATTCAATTCATAATTATCGCAGAGCAAAAGGTAATAATTTCAAGTACTTTAAATATATTGACCTAATTCTAAATATTAAATTTTCCAATTCGATATCGGAGAAATGTCAGAAAAAGTTTATTTTAATATTTAAATAATGAAATTGACGTGTTAATTCCATAAATCCATTAAATTATGTAAAATTCTATGATTCATTATTAATACTTCTGTATAATTATAATTCCCTGAAATTGACAATAGCTTTATATTAAATCGAATGGGAGGCGTGTAAATTTTCGGATAAAGCCTGAGGCAACTTTTTATATTTCGTAGAATTTAATGACACGTAAATGTTGAGAATAAATGCCAGTTTAAAAAAAAGATGATTTTTAAAAAAAGCAATTGGATTTTAAACAAAAATACTACATTCGTTTAAAAGTTTTTAATGAATATTCAGAGACAATAATGATATACTTTGTTACTGAAATTATGCAACAAATTTTGATAATCAATACAGTGAATTAACACGTATTATATACTAAACAGAAATATTACGAAAATCACAAGTGATTTGAACCTATTTGTTCAATACTGATAAGAATTAATTTTTTTCTGTATTCTGCCGATAAATTTAAATTATTTATTTTTAGTTTGAATTTCAGTTTTAATTGAAATCTGGTTTAATTCCATTAGCACTAGAGATAATTAAATAAAAATTGTTATCACTACAAATTTAATTGATATCGTTTTTTTAATTTAAATATAAATATTTTTTTTTTTTTTCAACTAAACGAGGATATTTTTTTACTTTCCAATTATTTTGTTAATTTAATTATAAAAATAATGAAAGAAAATATTTCTCAGATAATTTTAATTATGACTTTTATAATGAAAATTTTAATTGTCAGACATACTTTTATTAAAAATATGTAGCGCAAGAGTTGGTGAAAGGTATTAACTTTTTTGGTTAAAAAATAAAAATTCTGACACTAAAAAATATAATTACGTGCTAAAAAAGTCTTTATTGTGAATATTTTTACTATATGTTTATGAATGTAATTAGTGGTACGTAAAAAGTTTAATGAATGAATAAATAAGTTAAATAATAAAAAGTACATGGATAAATAATTTTACTATACGTTTTCCAAAGTATCCTAAGGCGTAAACCTGGCACATATGCATTTATAATTTTAGTCACGCGATTTATATTCAATGGTTTAAGTAATTAACTATTCTATTGCATACTTTAGTCAAGGTTGGGACAATAACAAACTTGAGTATACTTATAAAATAAAAATTAATCAAATAATTATTTGAAAAACACGCGACCATTCACATCAATCACATCAATTGTGGAATGAAAAATATTGTGCATCTTTTGTGTATTCAAGGGAATTTTCATAATTTTTAAATAATTAAATGGTTATTATATGCTTGTTAGTTGATTCGAAGACGAAAATTTTTTATTTTACTGTCTTGCAATTTTATTAGCATGAAATTTTTAAATGATTTAGAAAGAAACAGTTTAAATTAAAAAATGATTTATATTAATCCTTTCAAACAAATAATCAGATTTAAGGAGCGGTCGCTATAAAATAAATGGTTTGCACTTTAAAACAAATAGTTTTAATTGGTCTGTGACCTTCATAATGGATAGTTTGCTCTTTTAAATAAATGGTCTCATTTCAGAAAGTTAAACACGAATTTATTTTGATTGGATAATTATGTAATTTTATAGTAAAAATTCTTTTTTTTTTGTCAGTAATTATACTGAAATGATGGTGTGTAGAATTTCAACCCTTAATTACCGTTAACAATAAGATTTTTGAAAATTATTTTTAACATTAGAATTGTTTACAGTTAAAATATTATTTTTTAAAATGTTTTAAAATTGAGTTGGATTTGGGTTGAACAACAAACACTGAAAAAGTTTTTTTTCAAACAAAGCTGATTGGTTTTTAACAGTTAATAACCTTGATTTAAGTAGGTAATATGCTTTGCTCAAGAAAAGCGTTTATTGTATTAAAAAAATGCAAATTTTTTAAATAAGTAATTATACTCTGTAAGTGTGAAGGATGACTGGCTTAATATTTTTTTTTTTATTCAAGAGAAAAAAAACAAGGGATCATTTTATTTTATTCATAAAATTTTTGGTTTCCAATTAACTTTGACATGAGATGGGCAATTTATTGAATCAATAAAAATAATCAGGGAAAAACTTAATCTTTTTTTGAAGTGTACTATAAAAAATTTTCAAAATAATATTGAAATAGAAAAACATCTGATGATTTTCTTCAAGATCTCCCTAAAAATATTATTATTAAAAAAAATTTCTTTAAAATTATAAATGTAGAAATAAAAAAAAAAAAAAAAACTGAATTCAATTTTAAAAAAACATTATTTCATACTAATTGATTCTATAAAAAATGAACTTGCTTCAAGAGCAAAAATTCTTAATTTAAGAACATCATTTTTTAGAATTTGATGATCTTGGATTAAATAGAAAAATTTTCAACTCAAGAAATTATTCTTGATCCACGTAAATTTTACTCGATTTAAGAATTTTTCAATTTAACTCAAGATAATCAAATTTTTAAAATTGATTTTTTTTTTCGAGAATTTTTCTCTTGAATCAAGCTAATTTTTTTATCAGCGTGCTAATTTCAATTATAAGAAATAATAATGTATATTTAAGATGATAAAAATACTTACACTAACACCAGTAACAAGAATATCATTACGGCAGTTTGCGGCAGTGTCGTGTGTGCATCTGTGACCGTCAACGCACCAATCACAAGGAAAACTGGAAGAAACGCACTCAGTACAGGATGCGTATGTATTGCAATCAAAGAATGTAAAATCAGTCGTAACAAGATCCGGGCCATTGGTCATTCTGACGGACAATTTAGCGGTGAAGTGATGATGCCCAATAGGAATCGAGGGCAATAAATCAGTCCGAGGTGTCGTGCAATTAACACCAAATTGTTTTCTGGTGGCATTTGTAATCAATGTTTTGTCAAGGACTGAAAACGCGCATAAAAATTCCCCGCTGAGAGTTGGTAAATTGTCAATACTGAGCTCGAGAGTTCTCGCGGTTGTTTTTTGCAATTTTTCCGGTGTTACCGACGTGATTGTCGTACACTTCCCACTTTTATACGAAATCCAGTAAAGTGGATCTTTGGCAGCATCCTGACAGTCGCTGCGTAAATTACATTTGTTTTCAAGTGAGCACCACCCGCAGTATGGATCTTTGGCGCCCAAACAGTCCCAACATGTTTTGTAAACTGAGCACTCTTGCACTTTAACTTTTGATATTTTCTTCTCCGTCAGCACGTAAAGATGCATTGGCGGCTGCTGGGAGTCAAAAAGCAGATCCGCATTTACCGTCGAATTAGTATCGATTTCCAAATCTCCATACTCTTGCGCAAGCATTGCACTTTCCACAACCACCTGGAATCATAAAAAAAAAAAACAAACGTTATTTTATACTTATCTATATAGTATAAAATTTCATAGGTTTATACCTAATGTTTGTTATATGAAAATTAAGTTAGCCGACATTTAAAAATTAAAAAGAATTTTTTTATTGAAAAAATGACGACAAAAAAAAAAAAAATTGTCATTTGTTAAAAACTTGAAAAACTAAAAGTGCAATTTTTTTAAAATATTTTTTTTTTTTCTAATTTAATTATTAAAAAAAAATCAAAAAATTACAAACGTCGGCTAACTTTAGTATCATGTTTGTTATTATTATTATTATTATTATTATTATTATTATTATTATTAATGGTGTTGTCAGTAAACTTTTGTCCAACAAATCTCCTTTCGCTACGTATAAATAGTACCAAGTCATTACTATCATTCTTATAAAAATTATAACAGTAACAACGGTATAAATTTTGTACATTGTAGAGTCATTTATATACATAATAGAGATTCTATATTGTTTCATACTCACAAGTATACATACATGTACAATAACAATGCAACAGGTTTTAGAGGAGGACTTAAAACAATAATAAATGCAATAAAGTATAATATTGTTCAAATTTAATCGATATACAATCAGTGATTTGTTAAATTTTACCAGAGCCAGAGCCTCAAGACTTACGGAACAGGACTTATGGCAACAGTTCAACGGCATTTACTATTTACTAGACGCATTTGTTTGATAATTGAAAAAAAAGGCTTAAAAATGTCTATATATACGTACATAGCTTTATAATAAATGTAGTTGCTCAATCATAACGGTATTTATTGAGTCGACGAAACAAAGACCCCTGATTTCGCAACTCTCAGCACGAGCAGCATACTATAGATATTTATATATTTTTATTTTTATTTAGTTTTATAAATATAATAAATTTAAAAAGTTCTTTTCGCGTTCTGTAGAGGAAACAAAACGCTTCGGGAATTTTCAAAGAAAAAAATCGGTTCTGTTTACTGCGGTGTATTTATGTATTTGTATTATATATTAGTTGTTTGTATGTACGGCTGAGAGTGACGAGAGTTGACAGTAAGAGAAGTAATGAGGGAGAATAAGAAAGAGAATGTAAGTTTAACGTGTTGAGTGTAATAACAACAGAAGCCAAGTCCAAGGGGACTAACGATGTCGACAAGAAGAGAATATTGCTTGGTGTGTGTGTGGGTTTTAGAGTCTGTGACCGCATTTGCACACCCTTGGGTACAGACATTTTTCTTTGGTTCCTTAAGGACTAAACTACATGTAGCTTTCAGTTGTACCACCGGCCATCTATCTTGGATTCCACATAACACCCTGGGTACGCAGAGAAGAGAAGTAAGGTGGAAGAAGAAATAGGAAATCCAAAAGTTGTGGAAAACCAGCACCAACTAGTGTAGAACTGAAGGGTAAAGAGAGCGCAAAAACCATTAGTCGAGACGAATGTTTCATCTTCTATATCGGTGTTATGTGTATATATAGTATATGTGTACATAGATATATTAACATTTGGTCCCTCTATGCCCCTTTAATTCCCTTGAATTCGAACAATAGAAACTGCGAACGGTGAATTCTATCGTCAATGTAATTCCTAGGGGCGCGAAGATAAAGACAGCGATTCAACGGTCGGTATAGTATTGGTAGAGCGAGAAAGAAGCCAGACAGTAAATCGATTTGCAATAATTTGCCCGGATGAGAGAGAATATATATATATATATATATAGACTAAAAGTTGTAGGAGTATGGTGGAATATGTATTTATATGGATATGGATTCATTTTGTGTGAATATCTAGAATGTGGTATGAGTGGTATAGAGTACATAGAAACAGAAATATTAATGCATTTATGTATGTATATATGTAGATTATATATGAATGTTATTGAGCGGCGAGCATGATATTTGTGGTCTATCCAACTGGTATGCAATGACTCATCCAGGAAATGAGATAATAAAATAATGAGTTGTAAAATATATAAATCCGTTGTGCTGGTAATTGTCATTTATTTTAATAAAAAATTTGTCTCATTTTAAAATGTCGGGAGGTTGACATTTTAGTTCTACTTACATTTATTGAAGAAACAAAATATATTTTATTTGTATACCTATTCTAAAAAGTATTTAAGACTTATTTTTGGTGACAGAAAATAATAGAAATTTGAGGATTGTTAGTATTTTTGAAACAAGTTGATAATGTCAATATTCGAGAAAGAAATTTTTGATTAAAAATTGTCATTGCTTCGGTTAAGAATGAAATTTTTGAATTAAGAAAACCGAATATTTAAAAGTACACGGAAAAAAGTAAACTGTAATATTCACTCGGATTCCGGTTAGTTTTTATAGTTTCAAACAGTAAAGCGGACATCGGGGTGGCAAAAATGTAAATATTACAGAACTTAATGTAGAAAGTATAAAAGTCACAATTTATAATTTAATATCCAAAATAAGTGATTAGTAGTTGTTGCTATAGTAAATAACGACTCTTTCATCTTTAAAAATTACAGTTTCAAACAGTAAAAATTGCGATTTCAATATATAGTTGACATTATGAAGAGAAGGGGAACTCACTCTGGGAGAATTTAACATTTTAAACAGTAAAAATTATACTTTTAAAATATACATTTCACCAGTCCAAGCAAGTCAATAATTAAAGTTTGATTTTTAGCGTTGCGTTTAAAATTTACCATTTTACTTTGTAAATATTGCCGTTGCTTGTATTAGAAATTTACTAACTTTATTTTATACTTTTTACATATCATAATATCATTTTTTTAGGTACGAAATGATAAGTATTAAAATCTGAATTCTTAATTATTATACTTTAACATTTTAGACATTTACATAGCGAATATTACTGTTTGGAATAGTATATTACACACCTAGGGAAGTAAAGTATATAAGAAATATCTCAGATCACATGTAATTGTTAGCCGAGGCGAAGCCGATAATATACTATTCTAGTGTTTCAGTAGAAACTTAAAATATATACTTAAAAGTATTTTCAAACTAAAAAATAGTAGAGATTTTTGCTCCCCCATGAATCACGATCCAAACTCAAGGAGATCTTTTCTAAATGTCTCACAAAAATCTAAACAATTCCCGCAATGTATACCATTGAGATAAACGTAAAATGTAATTTAATTAATGAATGACCAATTGAATTGACCACGCGGGTGGGATTAAGACTAATCTATGTAACTGTACATTTATTATTACACTGATATTTTAAAACTATACAATATAATATGTATGAATGATAAAGAGAGTGGTAATAAAAAAGTTAGACAATGACAAGAATAATAATTCAATATAGCGTGAGGAGAGGTCATATAATAACTGGCGGTCTCACGTCGAGATCAAAGTTCTTTTATTCTTTTTAAAATATATAAAATATAATAATAAAAATAATAATTTTATAAATCAGTGTATGATTGTATTTGTTGTGAATTTTAAATGCTGACGTGACTTGTTAGGCATAAAAGATTGAATTTGCGGTTTTAGGGTAGCTGATGTGATGGTGATGAGGGAATATCAAATAAGTGGAGATGTGGGTCGCCGGGGTGTGCTATGGAATGTGATGTAGTTTGTGGTATGTGGTGTTCCCATACTTGGATGATTGTTGGTAAAGTACTGCAAGAGAAGAGTTGGGATAAGAGGAAAGAAGAGGGTGTTGTGCCAAGGAAGAAATAGTGGAACGAGAAGTAGAGACCTCTCAGCCTCAGTCTGGCTAGGTATACCATGCCCTCACTTATCCAACAAAATCTCAAACGATGATCGAACTCTGCAAGCAAAAGGTCAAGATCGAGAACAAAGGGGATCATAAGCTGGCTTACTCGTGCCGTACCGGTGATTTCCCCGGATCTTGTGTAAATATATGCATAAAATGGTGCATGACCGCAATATAAATAATAAGAATAACAACAAACTAGGAGAAGTAAGGAAAAGGAATGCAGACGAGAACAAGAATTGAAATGTTAACTGATCAAGATTCCTCACTGGGTTATTTAATTAAACTGCAATATAATTTTTAATATTAATTTTATTAACTTCCTTTTTTATTGTCCAATAAATTTTTTAATATTATTATTGTACGGTGTTATATTTATATTAATATTAATAATAATATAAAATTCATTGAGCACTTTATCTGCAGTGGTTGTGGCGTTAAATGGACTGTGATTTATCAAGGTACGCCGCGCATTACTTAGTAGTTATTTAAAAGTTAGTTCCCTAGCTGTAGCTGGTGTATATCAAGGTTCATAGCAATAAATAAATGGGTAAAAAGCTTACAGTTTATATATAGATGTATATATATACATATATATATATATATATATAAAAATATATTTATGTGCAGTGTTTATGTATACTGGTCTATAGAGAAGTATAGAGTACGGCGATTCCACGCCAATTTCATCAGAAGTCTCGGACGATTAATAATGAAACGCCACTTGCAACGGAAGGCGCAGCGGGACGTCTTAATTATCGGGATGGTAGGTACATGCGGTGAACGATTGACGGGTAAAAGATGTTGTTTGTAGTGATGTGGATGATGATGAGAAAGAAATCGTCGAGATTCCCGCGTCGACTACCGAGGACACGCTGTATAGAAGTGAGTTAAAGTTAACTCTTTTATGTTCTGCCTCACCTCAGCTCAACTCAACTTAACTTATGCTATATTATACGATAGGAGTCAGTTTACGGTTCAGTCTACGGTGTATTACTGTAAAGTAAATTAAGCTTTTATATTTATTTGATGGTTTTATTTTGAATCTGTCAACGGACATTGCTACTTGCAACCGGAAGTTTTAAGAGATTCTTCAATCACCACGCTTGTTAATCACCACGGTATCAGATTAAATTATTGTGGATGGTCGTTTCAAACAAAATATTTTTTATTTATTGATTTTTACTTTTCGAGTGCAGATCTGTGTGTTTATAAATAATTGGACGAGTGTAAAGATGAATGATTATTATTAAGTTATCTCGGTGCAAATGTAAAAGTATGATCAGGGGATCAAAGAGACTAAAAGAAAGAAGTGGAAGAGTAGAAAAAGTGACAAGTATAAGGTAAAAACTAGATGTTTGCTTCGAGATTCATTTAACTGATCGGATAGACGGGCAGAAGCGGGAGGTTAAAATTCTCTTGACGTCTTAATTAAGGTCGAGCGGAGTGTCTCGACCAACCACTCGAGATGAGTTTGTCAATGAAAGGAAAAATGAAGACTAAATCCTAGGCTAACTTCTTTACTTCCTCTCCTCTCTCATTCTTCGTTCCCTTCCTCTTCCCCCTACCCAGAAAGCTTGGGGATGAACGCCAAGTCCTTATAGCTCTTTCTCATCTGCAATTTTCTCGTAGGCCAATTAATTTTCCCTCGGGCAACGCCGGTTCGAGTCAATCTTTTTATTCACAGAGCTCTTACTCTATTTTACTCAAACACTGACGCCGTTAACTTGCTTATGGATATTAATAGCAATAGTAATAATAATATTTTTTAAATTTATGTAAAAATAAAGCTGTTGAGTGAAATAAAAATAGCATGCTGCATGTTGCCGGTATTCAAATTTTAAACGTCTAATCTACTTAGTTAGGTCCACGCTAATGAGCTTATTTTTATTTTTATAATTTGTTCTTTCATTAATATACACTACATAAACGTTAATTCATGAATATTAAGATTATC